AGTATCAGGTTGGCCATAATATGGAGCAAAATGAACTCTCATATACTGTGGGTAACGTTGTATGCTGGTGCAATTACTCTTGAAAACAGTTGGCATTACCCAATAAAATCCGACGTGTGTATGATAAACCGCCCCGCAGTTCCAATTCAGGTAGAAACATGAAATCAGCGCCATGTACAACATTGCTTGTACTAGGGGCGAAATGAAAGTCAGAAGGCTCCATTAGAACATATAGGTTCCAGTAGAGCATATAAATATGCCACAAAGTATCCAGTGAAATACTGTCCATCAGTGCAGACAATTGCACTTCGTAGTTAGCAAAGCAACATGGAGGAATCTCACACACATAATATTGAGTGGACAAAAGCAAGTCATGTTGGAGTATGTGCAAGTCTGTTTTTTGGTGCAAAAGCACACAATGTATTAGAGTGAGATTATTCCACGTTGGCTCATTTCAGGCCCCACATATTTGCAGGATTGCTGCAGGAGCTCTGGCCTCTAAATCCTCACTTATTTGTGTCTGGTGGGAACAGGAAAAGGTTGGTTTTACTATTAATTTTAATAAAATACCCCAAATTAGGTTTCATTGGCCCCAATTGGTCTGGCTTGAGCCACGTGCCTATCCATGAACCAATCACAGTAATCTGAATGGCTTAATCTAATTAATGTCATTCAGAACACAGGGGCTGGGAGGAGGGAAAGGGAGAGGAAAACACTTGGCATGGTTGCCAGAAGGAGGGTGGATGGACACTGAGCTTCTAAAATAATAGATGATATTACTCTGCCTGGTTTCCGCAGCCAGTTTAAGGCTTGTATTACACTAGCTGTTGTTACTTGCTTGCGGTCTAGGAAGGAAATGAGGCAGCTCAAAGAAGGGCACTTAGGAGCCACAAGGTGGTTTTTATGGTGCAGTGGGCCTAGAGTTGTAAGTTACCTAGCATTCCCCAATCGGAATGGATGGATGTGGACTGGCACCCCAGGGTGGCAGGATGGAGCCGAAGCAGGACTCTAATCCAAACAGAGATTCCTTTTCGATTTACGCAATCAAATTGTGTATCCCCTCAAAACTATTCCCTTTGTTTGTGTCTATTTGACCATCTCTGTTATTGATTTAAAGAGGACTTTTAAAAGCCTGTGGGAGGGGCATTTGAAGATCTGCTGTTTTTTGGCAGTATTACCATTAACTGTATAGTCTACACTGGTCCAAAGTCCTGTGATTTCTCATAGTCGCCTATGTGGATTTACACCCTCACTTGATTTCTCCTATGAATTTCATGTGTTTTACCCAAGCAATAAAGATAAGATATTTTGTGCTTTTAAACAAATCTTCAGTGTTCCTGTATTTCAAATAATTGACATTTTAGGTAAGATATTTATACTTTGTGGTTTTTTTGGTTTTTTTTTTCCACAGTCCTTATTACAAGTAGAAGTGCTTTTTTGTTTTTTGTTTTTATCAGACGTGACTTTTCAATCATTCCTTGTCTGAGCAACACCTAATTCAGGCCATTAAAAGCTCTTTCTACCTGGTTCCCAGTTATGATGGTCCTACCTATAAACAGCATAGTTGGTCTCTTCCGTGGGTAATTTTTCTTAACATTCATTTTGGAATAACTAGAATTGATCCTGCAGTTACTGTCAGGAACACAAAGCTTTCCGTCTCTGTCTGCACTCTGTTGTCTAAAATTAAGAATAAGCTTATTTTAGACACTGTAGCTGAAAGGATGTGGTGACATATTGGATTTGTGTCTCCTTTTTGCAGAACCAACCCTGACATTTTATTTATTTTTATCCTCAGAAGCACATTAGTTGTGTTTTGCCTATATAACTTATTTTAAGCATCACCCTGCATACCCTCCCGACTATAGGTTTAGCATTGTTCTTTGGCCAAAAGCAATAAAACATGACCTATTTTACCATGATTCGGTGACATGCAGTCAGCATTTTCTTTTCACAAATATAACATCAATGGATATTTATAACATTCCCCCAACCTTCAAACCGGGGGTGGAGGGTTTACATAAAATTCTATTTTTATTTAAAGTCCTAAGTATAACATATTAGTGGATTTTGACTTTGGGCCGGATAATCAAATATTCTTAATGTGTTGTTGTTTTTTAATCCTATCTTGAATTTATAGAACAGCCTCTGAGGCCCTCAAGTAGTCACCTATAAATAGGCATCACTCATTGTGAAAGCTCTCTTGCTGGTCTTATAGTCCTACAATGGGAGTTCGCTTTCTACAGACCAAAAATATAAATTCATTGGTTTACCTCATATTGCATTTCCTGGCTAGATGATGCTTTTTTCCCCCTTTTTGTAAAAATACATTTGTACTTTACATCATTTCCCATGAGGAAAGCATTATCTTAAAGATTTGCTCGAATGTTTTCTATATAAATCATTAGAAGCATAATTTTGTTGAGTAAGATCTATTTTCAGACTGTCTCCATTTTCATTTGTGGCCAGTCATTGCTGCCACCGGATGAAAGATGTTGCTTTTTACATATTATTTTTTCAGATCATCTTATAGCCTTTACTATTTCCAGTTGGGTATTTTTAGATATTTCTCTTGAATTTTCTAGGTATTCAACCTTGTCCCTTGCTGGTGGTGGTAATTTAGTTTGTTCATTTCTTCTCACGATTGCATTGTGAGCTTCTTCCATTTTGTTCTGACTTTTTAATATAAATGCTATCTGTTGGTTTTAGATCTTTGTAAAAATCACAGTAAGTGATCTTTCTGTTTCTGGGTTTCTGAGAGGTTATCAGATTTCGGTGCTGAGTTTATCACATGCCTTTTTGGCATCTTTGAATTTGGCCTGAGTGGGGAGGAGGGTGTCAAAATGGGGAAAAGGAGGGACATCTGTAATAAAAAAATTTAATAAATTAAGTATTAAAAAATAAAATAAAAAAGAAAGTATTAATATGTGTTGACCCCCTGTGACCTATTGACAAAACATAATAGGTTTATTTATAGAATGTTTCTAGAATAAGCACAATACATATTGTTGTATCATTATTTTAGAGTTTTCTGGGCACTTTATTTAGTACCCTTCTATCTTATTTAAGTCGAACAAGCCTCTTACATTTTTTTTCTCTTTTTGTGTCTTATCAGGTTTGGTTATCAGGCTTGTGTTAGCTCCAAAAACACACTGGGGAACCTCCTTTGTTCAAATCCTGAAAGCTCTTTTCATAGGTTAAGAATAATTTAATCCTTGAAGTAAATCACATTCATTAGTTGTTCAGTTTTTATAGTTTTGGTTTAGTTATAGCAATTAAATACCACCTTAGTATACTGTTTTCATTGAGATGTTCAGATTTATTCACAAGGATAATTTTATACAATGCTCTTTTATAATCTCTTCCATGTCCGTGATATATTCCTGTAATAATTCTGATTTTGTGTTGGATTTTATGACTAGATTAACTAAAATCTCTCTACAAGGTATTTCATTCTGTAATGACCCAGCTACTGCTTTTTAAATATCTTGAATACCAAATCACTGCTTTTATTTCTTTTTCTGCCTTTTCTATATTATATTTATTGCTGGTTTTCAACTTAAGTGAGTTTAAATATTTCACTCATTTATTTGTTCTCTCAAATTAAAAAGAGGTAGTGTTACAAATGAAACTAAAATTTTTTACTTCCCATATGCAAAATGCAACAGGTTCACTCCGAACCCACAGGATGAGAACAACTTTCTAAGGCCTTTCTATCCCTGAGCCCTTGTCCATGTTGTTGTAGCCCATAGTTCCTCCCTTCTTACACTCCTCCTACTACTCATTTCCCTACTTTTGATAATATGATCTAGGATTTCAGACTTAGATGGGGCATTAATATAGTAATGTTCTTAGTTGCATTTTTTTTTTCAAAAACTGAAAGTTTGCACTTGATTTTGACTACTGTTAGAACAACTAGCATACTGTATCCTTTCTTTACCTGCTTTTAATGCTGTCCACCAGTGCTACCACTATGTGACCACTTTTCACTCTTAAATTCTTATTTTGATTTATCCCTCAGCAACTAGAATATTTTTGAGTAACATTTTTCTTTTTTTTAAAACATATGTTTTTATTGATTTTTTTTTTAGAGAGAGGAAGGGAGAAAGAGAACCATCAATGTGCGAGAGAAACATAGATCTGCTGCCTCCTGCACGACCCCCACTGGAGATCCAACCTGCAACCCCGGGCATGTGCCCTGACCGAGAACCGGGATGACACTCAATCCACTGAGCCACACCAGCCGGGCTTGAGTAACATTTTTCATGAAGATACCCAGCTGATAAATTTCTGGGCACCAATGTTTTTCCTTTAAAAGTCTACAAACATTAAAATATCTGTGTGTTTTTTTGTCTCAAAAGTAGTGACCAGAAAAACAGCAACCCCAGATTTTACCAGATGTAAGCATTACCCCCATGAACATCTACCCTCCTACCCCAGCTACTTTGCATAGATGTAAGATGGGAGGAACTATGGGGTACGACAGCATGGAGAGCGCCTCAAGGATAGAGTAGCCGCGGCCTTAGAAAGTTGTTCCCACCCTGTGGAGGACTTGTATTTTGGAGATAGGGATACCATGGTTGAGACTGAGTGAAATAGCTTATTTTCTTTCCACAACTTGGGGTTTCTTTCCTCCAGGTAAGGGAAATTCTTCCTGGCCTCTGGCAAGTCAATGATGAAGTTAGTTATTAAGTGCTATTGAAAGTTCAAGTCTCTTGAATTTTCTGAATATTTAAAGGGAAGGAGAAAAATCAATGATTGGATATCAGTAACTTCCTAACACCGTATCCTATAAGGTTTTTTTAAAATTAAATTGTTATGGTTATTGCATTAACTTTATTGTAGACTGACAACACGGATGTGGCATTTTCCTGGGGAAATTTTGGCCTTTTTGAATCCAGTGTTCTGTTTGCTCCTTAAAATGAGCCCTGATTCTCATCCAAGTGGGAAAGTAATATTTAAGTTTTTAATTGAGCAATTTCTTTTTTGTGTTTCCGCTACAGGTGAAGACGGATATTAGGAGTGTGTGGGTGACGATACTGGAAAGGCGTCAGCTATAAAAGTAAGCTGGTTTCTTTTTTTACCGTTGGGTATGAACCAGGTTAAAAGATTATTATATTCGCCCTGGCCAGTTTGGCTCAGCGGTAGAGCGTCGGCCTGTGGTCCAGAGAGACCCAGATTCGGTTGCCGCTAAGGGCATGTAGCTCAGCTGCAGTTTGTCCCCGGCCCTGGTTGGGTCGTGTGGGTGGCAGCCACTCGATGTGTCGCTTTCACATCGATGTTTCTCTCTCTCTCTCCCTCCCACTCTATCTGAACAAAAAATGGAAAAATGTCCTTGGGTGAGGATAAAAAAATTAAAATAAATAAATAAATAAATAACGATTAATATATTCAAAGTTTAGTTTTGTTAAGTATTTTTGTATAAGTACATGGTAGGCACAGTTTTTCTTGCTTGTGATTATTTTGTAAGAAAACAAATATTCTAACAAGAGGATGAATTATGAAAGCAAATGCATACTTCAAAATACATACATGAGGAATGAAAATAGAGTCAGGAAGAGTTAAACGACGCATGGCCCAGTTTGGAGTCCTTTCTCCAGTTGGGTGTCTGGTTCTGAGCCAGTCTTCAGTGACATTTTAAATGCTTCTTATTGGCCAGAAACGTTTTTCTTGTCCTTTGTTAACTTCTTTTTCTTCAAGATTGAAACGCTCAGTTCACTTTTGTGGTGGTAGTATTTAAAAAGCTACAATGAATGGAAAAAGGCAAGGGAAGGAAGGATGTGTCCTTTTCTAAGTCTAGGCAATTATTTTACTCTGTTCTTTCCTAAGTACTTTCATTTATCATTCTCTGACCACATTTTAAGCTATTTGTCAAGACTGAAATGTCGCTGTAACATTGCTCAATTACATGTCAAATGCTTACTAGAACAATAGGAATAGATGAAGAAGCTCAGTCTGGGAGGTAATGCGTTATGACTTTTTACTCACAAGTTTATATTTTCAATTTTACACCAGGTCTCTTTATTTAAACCAACAGTAAAATAAAAACACAAGCCTTAGAACTTCGTTGCCTTTAGCAAAATAATAATGCTTTTATGGAATCATAAATATTTGAATCACTGCATTATTCTTCTTGAAGTTCTCAAAGGTATTACGAAGACAGATGGTCATTTTAATGGAGTGAGATGGCTTTGCTTGTGTCAGAGTTCAGAATTCACTGGTGTTTTGTTAACTGGTAAAACAATGGTCTCCTTACTGCACATCTTCATTACTGGCAAGAAAGTCCCAGAAGATCTTTTGCTTGACTTATGACTGCAGTGCTGAGTGGCTTAAACATTAAGGGTCTGTGGTTCAGAGTTGACTTATCCATTAGGCACAGTGCCCAGGGTCTAGGATGCTTTTAGTGGCCATGGAAATGTTTTAATTTTAATTTCTTTTAGAAGCAGGATAAAATGAATAATAATAATAGTGACTATATCATAATGAACCCAGCCTGGATTATATTTTTCTTTATACCAATGCAGTTGTAAAATATGGTTTTTAATTTTTTATGGAAGGAGCCAAAGTGCACAGAGTACAAGAACATCATCGTCACTGTGTCACAGTCAGACTTACTCCACATATGTGACAGACTCAGTCATTTGATTGTGTGTGTGTGTGTGTGTGTGTGTCTGGAAAGGACTGATCATTTTCTTTTTAATAAATGATTATCTGCTCTGTAAATAAGTTTATAGACTTGTCTGCTCATCAGCGAGATATGTGGTTCTAGCTGCAATGAAATGACATATTCTCAGATTAGATAGCTGTGGTAATTCATTATGTTTTCCTAGAATAAAACAGGACATTTCTCCCTGGAGATACCCACTGATGTTCTATTTGCTCTGCAACATGCTGTGGAAAATAAGAAAAGGGAGTTGAGCAAGCCCGCGCTCAGGATTCTCCCGTCCGATTTTTCAGATGGGCATTTTTGGCCTGAGGGGCGTGTGCTCCCTTGGAAGGGTGCCTCACCCGGCCCGCTGCTGCCAGAGTCTAGAATTCTATTTAGTTCTTCCGTAATTGCTCATCTATATTCCTGTGCACATAGCATTTTCAATTACCGCAACCAATCTGGTTTTGTCTGTTTCTGAAACCAGAATCTAGTTTGGGAGGAAATATTTTTGTTAGTTTTCAACTGCAATGAGCATATAAATTGTGCACAGAATATCTTCTGAGAATCACTTGTTGATTTTAAGTACGTGTATTTCATGTCTGAGGGACTGCTTTTTCAAAATAGGTACCCACTCAAATACAAACTCCCTGAGAGCCAGCATCTTTGAATGTTTTGTTCGTTACTGTATACTCTAGAAAAAGCCAGGCATGTACAAGAAGCTCAAATGTTTGCTGGAAGAATGAATGAGCTACCTTCCTCATTTGAAAGAGTCACGCCCCCCCTCTCCCTTGGGGTGCTCAGGGGCTTCCTGACCTTATCTGTTTCTGCTCGCAGATGCCAAGCCCTTTAGACAGGAAAGTGGGGTGCTTTTAGTGAAAGTGCCAGAGGCTACAAACGGTCTGTTTCCCCCCACAGTTGCTATGACTAGCCCTGCCATCATGGTGCCTCGTGGCTTCATGGTGTGGTTGTGCTCTTCTCTGGAGGGTCAGCATCATCCAGTGTCTTATGTTTCAGTCTAAGGACTCCTGCTGCCTTTTTATGAGCAGTTACTGGAGGACTTCACGTTGAACCCATCCTGACTCAGCAGCTGCTCAAAAGTGTGTAGTCTTGCCCAGCTGGTGTGGCTCAGTGGTTGAGCGTCGACCCATGCACTAAGAGGTCGCCAGGTCAATTCCCGGTCAGGACACATGCCCAGGTTGTGGGCCCGATCTCCAGCGGGGGGCATGCAGGAGGCGGCCAGTCGATGTTCTCTCTCATCGATGTTTCTATCCCCCCCCCTTACTCTCTTTCTAAAAAAAATCAATAAAGAAAAAAAAAATTTTTTTAGGTGTGTAGTCTTGAAGCTAAAGGTTTTGTGGTTTGTGAGTATTGAGGCTTATTACCCCTGAGTCTTACAAATAGCATGGCGAGGGCATGCTTAGGGAGGAATCAACACTGTCCCTTCACCTGTCCTCTAAATGACCTTGCCCCTGCGTTCCCGGGCCTTCTAAGTGCCTTACTTAGGGCGGATAAATGTGTCGGAAGCAGCTAATAGAAGAATTATCACTGGCTACAGCATAAATGATTCACATTGTGAATAAATAAGTTGTTGTATTGAGCTAGATGTTGCTAATAATATAACATCAGTACAGTTCCGGGCACAGTGCCGGAGGACAGGGACCTAGGGCAGTGTGGAATCTTTGAAAAGTCATTGGGAAGCTCTCCTTCAGCTTTTCCTGGTGCAGAATCCCCTGATGATTTCTTGACATGGAGGTATCATGGGAAAAAATTGTTAATGTATAATCAAAGCTAAAAAGTTGTAACAACTAAGTAGAGTGGTTGGTTACAATAATGTAGCACAGAATTATCTCCTATGCAAAGGTTCTGGAGTGCAGTTGCACCAGAATGTGAAAGTACTTAACACAACCCAACTGTACACTCAAAAAGGGTTAAGACAGGAAATTGTATTTTGCCACAATTTAAATATTTTTTAAAAGATCACCTAGAAGTTTGCATACCTTAAGCTGATGTAGAGACTAGATACCCTTGGGGGCGGGGAGCGTGGGAGCCAGATGAGGAAGACTTCCTCACTGTAGGTCCTTCATTATATCTTCAAAGGGGATGAAGGGTCCCTTACCATTCTTAAGAGGAAAAGGACATAAATTTAAAGAAAAATGCACCTGTTTTCTTATGCAAGGATGACCTTTGGAATGAGGAACCACGTCCCATCCCTGGCATTGAGCATTAGGGAATTCTCAGGACACAGTGTCCTCAGTTTTGTGGGATTATGATAATAGGTTTCTGTCAAAAACAAGGAGGGGGAGGGGGTTTCATGGTCACATAAGGCTGGGGTTTCAGTGAGGTCAGTGAGTTTCTTTTTCTGCAAAGCCTTTCCTGGACTGCCCTGAACCATACAGCTTCAGTATGGAGGTGTTGCTGGCAGGGTTTCCCAAACTTACTGAACCACGGAATACCTCCTGCCACCCACAGCAACCTGCCCCGCCTGCTACTTTTAACCTATTGCTGTGTGGTTCTGTGGAAGGTAGTTTGGTAAATGCAGATGTAAGGTCAAGTCTGGGAAACGGAAGTGGCTCACACAGACACACACACCGGTCATAGAAGCGATATAAGTGAACGGAAGCCACACTGTGACCTGTAGGAGGAGCACACAATGGTTCCCACTGGACCACCAGCCCTGGGGCCAGCCCTCCGGTGTGCTGGTCAGGAACCCCTTCACCTTTTGTCTCCCCTCAGACTGACCTGTTCCGTGACTTGTGGGACACCTTACAACATTAAGCTAAGCCACTGGCCCAAGGAGCAGCCAAGGATGGCATTCGGTCATCTGAAATTCTAGCGTGGAAGAAAGTTTTCTTAGATCTTTTGCAATTTCAATGACCTCCAGTCTAATAACGTTTGATAGAACCTGACGAACTCCTTAAACAACATATTATTTGAAGAGAAATAGCATAAAGTTACTGTACACAGTTGTTATTGACACATCGTTCAGAGTGACCTGTGTTGGGATGATCCCCTTGTCCACGAGTGCTCACTTCATATGAAGCACTACGGATAAAGCACAAAATGCTGTGAGGGATGCCAAGGCCAGAACACCAGGCTTCTGCCCTCGTAGCCAAGATGATCAAGCGAGTCAGAGGAGGGAGAACAGATGTACAAATAACATTTCTGTGAAGCAGTACGTGATAAAAAGGAGTATCAGAAATTCAGAGAACCAAAGGGGTTAGAAATGTGATCGAAAGAGACGTACTTTCTATGTAAAGTGTTCACTTGCGAGTGTTCTGTGTCTTTGAAAATAATGGTTGTTTTCTGTTGGTGGGGTAGGAAGTCCAGAATTAAATCAAAATCATTTCACTGTGGTTCAAATCATCAATATCCTCACTGAATGTTTTCTTCCCTGGACCTGTCGTCCCCTGAGAATGCCTCCCAGGCTCTCACTGTGTTAGTAGATTGTCAGTTTTTTCTTTTAGTTCTATTAGTTCTTCCTTTATGTGTTTCAAAGCGATGCTTAGATACATGAAGGTTAACAAGTTACTCACTTATCAGGTAATGGTATATTAGAAACCACATAGAATATTGTATCCCCGTGAAATGTGGGAATCACAGGTTTTCAGCATCTGCAGCTGACGGTGAACTTGAACAGACCTGCCAGGGGCTTGCCCAGCAACCATCTAATAGGCACAGAAAGACCATCACATGAAGTGTCAAAAGAACCAGATGCGCTCAGTCGTATCAGGTCTGCTTTCAGAGCAGTGGATCATGACTCCAGTGCCTGGAACAGAGAATTAGTTGTAATATTTGAGAAACTTGTAGGAGCATTGGACCAGATTCACCAAGCTTCAGAAGTCAGTAAAACAGAATTATCCACCTTGGCTTTAGGTAGTCTAGGCCCGTGTTCAAGTGGACTGACTCAAGCTGACCACTCCTCCCCCACTGCCACTGTCTTGACCCCTTTCTTCTGTCTCATTCAAATCCCAAATCTCAACCATCAAAATTTCAGTTGCATTTTTCTAGGTCTGCATACTTTTAGAAATCTGTGTTTTATTATTGCTGTACACCATCATGCCTTTTCTACGCTGTAAGGAAAGCTGTTCTGGAGGAAGATTACATTTGTGATAAAGAGTTTTAGAGTTAAGTAGGGTATTAAAGCAATCATTGTGTTTTCAAATCAAAAGACACGGAGTTGCAATTGATCTTAAGTCTGGTATTAAGGAGACTATTTTCTTTTAATATTCTTTGTCTTAAAAAATGTGGGGTCTGGTTTCTTAAAATGTTGTAACTTCATATATATTCCTTTGATTTCTAAAGCTTAGTCATTCAAAAAAAAAAAAAAACAGTGTCGCAGTTTCACCAAGTCTTTATAAATGGGATACTGTAGCACCCCGGCTCTTAGGCAAACGGTCGCCAAATGGTTTTTCTCTGGTTTCCTTTTTCTTCCTAAGCGTCCTGTCTCATTTCTAACTCTTTTCCGGGTGTTTTCAATTGGGGATCTTCCAGACACCTTTAAGGTCACTTATTCTGAGAACTGCCTGTTTCCTACCTGCTATTTGAAAAGAATGAATTTTTGTGCAGGCTTGCCATTTCAAATGCACACTTGACATCACTCTCTCTCATCCTCCTCCCTGCCCCGACCCTCAGTTTCTAATCTGTCACCACATCTCACTAAATGTACCACCTGTCTCTTGCCTTCTTTTCTTTTCTTTCTTTCTTTTTTTTTGGGGGGGGGGTACATGCCCCTAGCAGGAACTGAACCCAGGAATCTCTGGTCCGCAGGCTGATGCTCAAATGCTGAGCCAAACTGGCCAGGGCTCTTGCCTTCTCTTCTATTTCCGTGACCTTTATGACGGAAAAAGAAAAAGAGAACATTTGAGTCTTTCCCACAAACTACACACTATACACTTTTTCTTATTCTCTTAGCCTTGTGCAGTTACCACCGTGAACTGAACTGTACAGGTCAGGCGCCTGAAGCTCTCAGAGATTTACACAACTAGTGGATTTTGAAACATGACTGGTTACAAATACCCAAGTGCAAGTCCAAGGGCAGAGATCTTCACTGCCCTGGCGGGAGCAGCACCCCTGGCCACCATGTGCGGGCCCCCAAGCTGCCACATTAGGGCAGAAGGACCGGATCCTCTTTCTCTTCAGTTTCTCTGAACTGTGTACCGTCCAGTTCATTCTGCCCACCAGCCTGGTCCCCCGAAATGCTGGGTTAATTATGTCAGGTGTCTGGTCTAAAGTTCACTGTGACATGTTGTCACTTGCTCGCTGTTCTCCAGCCTTTTTTTTTTTTTTTATCTTTAAATCAACTTCTAGAAAAGTGTATTTTGTGCCACCCAGACCTCGCTCTGCTCATGGGGTTGGTGTGAGAGAAGCGCAGTGATCTCTGAGGTCAGAGGTCCTGGGCGTGGACCTCAGCACCCTCCTCCCTGGGATGCCTCAAGCAAGATTTTTGCCACTCTCATTTATAAAATCGTGACAGTGACCTCACGCCAGCTTATTCGGATCTGGACAGGACGCGTGCAATGCCAGCTGCAGAGCCCGGCCCTTGGCAGGCGCTCAAACGGAGCCAGAGGGCAGTAGCGGTAATACTATTATCTGGACTTTATCTGTCCTTTTAAACCCAGCTCAAATTTCTCCTCCTTTTTAAATTGCTCCAACCTGATTTTATCTGCCCCCTCCTCCAAGCTGCTGTATCGGTTCACCTCTGAACAATTCATTTAGCAATTTTAATTATGTGGTGCCTCTTGACGCTGCTTTGTGATCTTGAAAATCCTTCTCGAAGTGCCGTCTTGAGTCTGGTAATTCCCGCTCTAATGGACTGAAGGAATCTGAGGCAGGGCTGGGTCACACACGGCGCACCGGGCCCTCACCCTCACTGTTCACAAGCGCTTCGGACTCTAAATAAGAAATTTCACATTCACTCATAAGCAATCAATGAGCTGAGTTGGTTTTAAGTATAGAGGGTTCACAGAGGGGTACCTCCATCTGGCATGATGAGCCCAAATTTCTTTGTTCCTAGAGCCGAATGTGAAGAATATTACGGAGTACATTTTCAAACTCCGAGAAATGTTACTGTCTAACATTTCTTATAAAACTGTCTTTTATTTTTTATTTATTTTTATTTATTTTTTATCCTCACCCGAGGACATTTTTCCATTTTTTGTTCAGATAGAGTGGGAGGGAGAGAGAGGGAGAGAGAGAGAGAGAAACATCGACGTGAAGGGACACATCGAGTGGCTGCCACCCGCACGACCAACCAGGGCTGGGGACAAACTGCAACCGAGGTACATGCCCTTAGCGGGAACCGAACCCGGGTCTCTCTGGACCGCAGGCCGATGCTAAAACCGCTGAGCCAAACCGGCCAGGGCTAAAACTGTCTTTTAAACTCTGGGAAATCTTAAAACACGTCATGGTTTTTTCTTGGCATAACTCCAACTTAGGAAATATTCTAATTTTCTTCATAACTATTGTTTTCCAGGCTTCAGTTGTTTTCTTGGGTGGATCTTCGTTTTCCTTCTGTGCCTCTTCAGTCCAGGTAACCGTTTCTTTTCTCCCCCAGCCAGGTTTTCCTTGGGAGAGGCTGGTGGGGAGGGTGGTCCCGGAGAAAGATGCCTGAGGAAGGGTCAGAAGAGATCTCGTGTACAGATAAAGATTTGATGGCACTTTAAACCAAAGGAACTTTTGTGTTAATTATGGCCTTTTTTGCTTTATTGAATCACTGTATATTCAGAGCCAGCTTTTAAAACGCCATGCTCTATTTATCATCTTCCCTGGAGGTGTGGGGGCACCCTCTTTAAACCATATAAGAATTGGTGAAAGAAAATTCATTTGGAACAAGTTGTAGCAAGTGTCACCACCCCACACGTGTTCCATCCACAAAATCGCGTTAAAGGCACTTGCATTAAATCTGTTCCTAAACAAAATATATGTAGGAGTAATTTGGCAGTATTTGCCTACACAGAAAAAGTAATTTCTGTTGAAATGCTTATCTAAGGAAAAAGATGTGTCCTTGGTTTGCCAGGGTTAAGGCTGCGGCACGGAACTGTGTGAGATCCTTTGGCAGAGCCCTTCCCTGGGGGGTGGCATGCTTCCTTCTCGGGGTCAAGGACGGAGTGAGGGGTTGGAAACCACACCCGCAGCTGTGGAGAGGTGTCCACCGTGGAATGCCTGGCTCAGGGACTGAATTCTTTGCAGTGGGCTCACAGCCTCTTTGTCTGTGAGACAATGCTAGATAAAGCACATACCGCCACTGGGATCTAGAAAGATCTCCCTCTTAGCAAAAGGCCACTTCAGAAGGAAATTTTGAATTTCTGAAGAACACTGGAACATTGGAGAGTAGGATCCCACAGGGAAAGACTGGAAAGGAGGAAGGCTTCAGCCAGTGGGACCACGTGCACACACAGCATGTGTACAGGCCATCACCAGTCTAAGCCAGGGCTGTTCTCCAAAAGCGCGTTGCTCCCTCGGTAAACATACAGCTATGCATGGGGAGTCCTCCGGCGAATAGAGCCTGTGAACCCAAAGAGAACCAGAAATGCAGTTAGGGCCACTGGGGGGGGCCAGTTCCTGGGACTAGCATTCTTCTCCAAGGTTCCCATAAACAACTGAAATTCCAAAATTTGTGGACAAACCTCATCTGCTGGAGAACGTCCCACAACTGGAGAATGAGGCATAAACATTTTTTATTAGGTGATGTATCTTGATTTTGGACGTTAGAGATACACACATAAGCTATAAAACCATAGTGATACAGACATAGAAGAGTGTCTCAGGAGAGCCTCGTGGACACATCAGAGCAATAATAGAAGATAATTGTGTAGCACTTAAAATTATATATGTGTGTGTGTGTGTGTGTGTGTATGTGTGTGTGTGTGTGTGTTATTATTGTTGTTGTTGTTTTTTAATTTTAGCCCAGTTTTCATTGTGGAACTCTGAGACCCAGACATTCTTATTTATCATGTGGCAAGAGCTTAGGTGGAAGGCTTTGAAATGAAGAATGTTGATGGGGCCTCGTGTCCCGAGAAGAAGATGAGGAGACAGTGAGAATGATGGCCTGTTTGAGCCGCTTAGGGAAAGGAAGGAGGAGGGAATACTTCAGAAGAGCTGGCCGTGGAAAGGAGTAATGACATACGGAGAGATTGCCGCGCCACCATCTCTCCCAGGGTGAGAGTTTGCTAGGTTGAAGGAGAGAAATAGAGAGGGTAGGGATATCTTTCTGTCCCTCCTCCTTTCAACAACTCATTGTCCCCATGAGGTTCCTCCCTATTATCTTGGACGTCTGTTCTTCCATAAACACACTGACAAGCTTTTCTTTTCTTTTTTTTTAATTGATTTTAGAGAAAGAGGAAGGGAGAGGGAGAGAGATATAGAAATATCGATGAGAGAAAACATTGACTGGCTGCCTCCTGCATGTGCCTTGACCAGGAATCAAACTGGCGACCTCTTGGTACATGGGTCGATGCTCAACCACTGAGCCACACTGGCCGGGCTATTGTGCTATTTTCTATACAAATATCTGTAAACCTGCTTTTGCTTCAGCCTATATATACCATTAGAACCTGGAGCACGTTTTCCTGTAGAAATAAAACACATTTACCAGGAGTCTTTTGGGACATGCTCCATGTTTAAATCGGTTCTGCCTGTCTGTGCAGGGTTGAGTGAGCCCGAGCAGAGAATAGGAAAGTGCTCCTTTCTCATGGGGGATACAGGGCTTTCTTCCTTTGAAACTTGGTGAACTGGTCTACCACTCTGTATACCTAGAGACTAACCTCAACTACGTGTTCCCTAGACACAAAATAAACTTTCAAAGTTTTCCATGTTTTTGATTTTTTATGAATATGAGCTTTCCTATCTGAGAAACTTTAAACACTTATGAAAATGATTATGATGCTCATGGGGTCACTTTAGAGGATAAAACAACAGATGGAAGGAGGTCGGTTGACAGGACCAGCTGACCTGCTGGGAGAGACTGAAGACTTTTTTTTCTTCCTCTGTGATCATTCTTCTGACCATCTTGAAAGACAGCCAAGGAAACTTTTCTCCTCATTATTTATTTCCAACCACTTCTCGGAAGTTCATTCAGACTTATAATTAAACAAACCATCCATGCTTTGGGAGCACCAATTTAAACATTAAATGTTTACATTTATAAATAGAGAGGATTAATTATCTCCCCCAACCACCACCAACCAAGTGTTAGCCTTACAGGCAAGTTATTTCGTTTTGCTCACTCTTGTATACTGAGCAGTGGCTCAGTAAATGAGTTAAATAAGATGGTGTCTTGGTGCAGGAAAATGTGGTTCCTGAACCATTTAGAGCAAATGATGAGCATTTTGTATTTTAGATTTGTAGCAAATTGAAGACTTACATTTTTTAATTTTAGTATATCATTGTATGTTTATGGAGAAAATACTAGAGGTGGGAAAGACACTTTCCCCTAACATTCAAAGCACATTCATATGTAGTACATCTTTAATCTCCCACTTCCTCACTCCCAAGGTTTTATACTTTCAATGGTTTACTGGTTTCACTGTTTTTGTTTGTTTTTTCACTTTAATAGGTAAAATATTTTCAACTGTAATAGAGATTCTTACTCAAATGTGCAAAAACAAAAGGAAATTTGCTAAATTGCTCTTGGGGAATTGTGGCCTTTAAGGGTCATTAACTCGCGACTCAGGAATATCACACGTGGATGAGCAGATTTCTTGTCCATATGCACCAGGAGAAAGTGAGGAACCTCTCCCCAAGCCATGGAATACAAGCGCCTTCTTCCAGTCTGAGAAGGCCACTTACATTGTGGAGAGCAATTGCCACTAAGAATGCCATGCACTGATTGGCTTAGGTTATCAGGGTCCACTAATAGTGTTGGGGATGGGGTCAGCTGCACCTTCCATATATCTGTGAGTAGATGGGTCAAGGAGTTGGAAACTTAAATAAGTTGTTGGGCCCTGGCCGGTTTGGCTCAGCGGTTAGAGCATCGGCCCATGGACCAGAAAGTCCGGGTTCTGTTCCCGCTAAGGGCACGTACCTCGGTTGCAGTTTGTTCCCGGCCCCGATCAGGGTCATGTGGGTGGCATGTCGATGTATCTCACTCACATAGATGTTTCTCTCTCTCTCTCTTCCACCACACTCCCTCCCACCACACCCCCACCGCTCTATCTGAAGATAAAAAATGTCCTCGGGTGAGGATAAAAAAAAAAAACGTTGTTGGGAAGGGAGAAGGAGAGAACAGATGCTGGGTAAGCAGCCAGCAGTGCCCATTAAAGTGGGGCTGTTGTACTTAATTGTTGCATTCTTATTTTAATCCCTCACTTCCTGGCTCTTATCCCCACATCCTGTTGTAGACTGTCCATTCTTCTTCTACAAAATTCCTCAGGTTCTTTCTTTTTTTTTTTTTAAATCCTCACCAGAGGACATTTTTCAATATTTTGTTCAGATAGAGTGGGAGGAAGAGAGAGAAAGAGATACATCGACATGAAAGGGACATAGAGTGGCTGCCACCCACATGACCCAACCAGGGCCGGGGACAAACTGCAACCGAGGTACATGCCCTTAGCGGGAACCGAACCTGGGTCTCTCCGGACCACAGGCTGACGATCTAACCGCTGAGCCAAACCGGCCAGGGCCTCAGGTTATTTCTTGGCACCTTGGGGGAGGCAGAGCATGTCTCACCTTATAAATAGCTGTGCTGTTGTCTTCATCTTCTGGTCTAAGTTGCTGAGGTCTCCATGACTGGAAAGTGCCCACAATTCAGCTGACACTGCCATCCAGAGTCACACATCAACAGAGCCTGCTTGGAGGCCAATTAGTGCTTTGTTCTTTGGAGCATGTCATATAGTCATACTATATTCTGTGCCGAATTGGGGCGATACTTCTAGTGGCTCATGGAGTTTTAAGTGAAAAAGACTGTTTTCTATTCCTCTAGCTTTTGGATGCAGACATAGGCTGTAGAGACAGAGCCTGGGGTCAGCAGAACAGTAACTGAGCTGCTGAGGGTGCCGTCCCAGCTTCTGGCTTGTGCAGCTGGATGGAACTAGGTTGTAGTCAGGAGGACTGGCTCCTTGTGGCATTTGGCACCCAAGTTAAATAGACCAATGCAGGCAGTTTTGCAACCTAGTTATCCTTGATCATGTTATATCAATGGGAATTGGCGTCTGGACTCAGTGATTTAGAACACATTCTGAAGTTACTGAAGTAAGTTGTGGATCTTTTTGCCACTGTCACTACAGGACAATTTTCTTCTTGTCTTCTTTTCCCCAACAATACTGTGTCATTAGAAAAGAAGGCTTTAGAAAAAGCTAGATTTTTTTTTTCTTGCCTGGGTCAAGGCTTCCGTGATTTGATTTAATAAACAATGTCAAGGCTAAGTAGGGGGTTTTCCTCCTGATGGATCCGTCTGCTCAGTTCCATACAGGCATCAGTACAGACCCCAGGGGAAAGGCTGTTATTTCTCTTAGCTGTAAAATGGGTGGTAAATGCCCCCCACTGCTTGTGGCATTTGTTCCTTTATTCTTTAGGGTGTGGCAGTCCAGGGGA